GGGACTGTAGCTGTGTCAGGTTTACCCCAAGTTGTTTTATAACTTTTAGGTGCTGCCATAAATAATACTGTCCTAAATATTTGACCCCATAAAAAATTAAAAATAAATGAAATATAGCAATCCAGGCCTTGTTATGAGTTGACTACAGTTTGGTCTTTCCCCCTAGTTATCCAAAACTTGGTTGGTGTGGGGGTATAAAGGCCTGGGTGCTTCCAACTAAAGACAACTCTGAAGGGTTATTCCAGTTTTAGAGTTCTACATGGAATTGGTTAAGCTTTCTTTCTTTTTTTTTAAATTTTAAAGATGTAGGGTACAATTCAGGGTTAGGTATACAAATGTTCATTATGCAGGTACCCTTGTTGATAAGGTGTGCCCCTCTCTCCCCTGGCAGTTTCCCTCAACTGCCAATCTCACCCCCCCTCCCCTGGCAGTTTTCCACTACCGATTGACCAAGCTGTCACTGAAACTGTGGAGCAGCTCAGCTTCTCCCTCTGCCCCTCTGTTTTCCTTCCCTTTTCTTTTGCAGGTGGTGATCCCAATAAAACTCCCTAAAAAACTTCCTATTATTGATTTCCATCTCAGAGTCTGTTTCCTGGGGAACCCAACCTATAACACTGTGGCTTTATTCATTAACTGTTTCTAATTGGAAGAGAGGTACTTAATACATCTCAAGAAAAAGAAAACTCAGTTATAACTAACATTATTTATTTTGGTCTACCCAATACTCTTTCTGTTTCTTGGTAACATACTGCCCACTGGCTACAGAGGCGTGTCCTACGCTGGGTCAATCATAATACTTCATCTTCCTGGGTACATGACCAGGCTTTGACAATCAGACTCCTACTCTGGTAATTCTTCTACTGAGAGCTAGAAGACAAACTTTTGCTTCTCAGATCATGGAAATGTCAGGATATGACTCTAGGGATGCTGGGCCATATTTGTTATCTACAAGGAAAAGCACCATCTGAAGAGAAGAGGATAAAGTTAAGCTGACAGAAGAAACCAAGAGAGTGAGAGTCCTGTAAACATCAAATTCCCTGTAGGTACCCTAGTTTCTGCTGCTCTCTTTTTGTTTTTATTTTTGAGTAGAGTTTCACTCTGTTACCCAGACTGGAGTGCAGTGACCACTCCCGGCCACTGCAACCTCGACCTGCTGGGCTCCAGCGATCCTTCCGCCTCAGCCTTCCAAGTTGCTGGAACTACAGGCGCGCACTACCACGCCTGGCTAATTTTTGATTTATTGTAGAGATGAGGTCTCGCCAAGTTGCCCAGGCGGGTCTTGAACCCTCAGGCTCAAGCAATTCACTCACCTCGGCCTCCCAAAGTGCTGGGATTACAGGCTGAGCCACCGAACCCAGCCTCTGCTGCTCTCTTAATAGTACTGTGAACTATCCTAGTATCCTTCTAATAATTTTTTTTTCTTCAGCTAGTTCAATCTAGGTTTTTTCAAATTGCAATGGGAAGAATCTCACCTAAAATTTCCGTGTATTTTGTATAAGGTGCCACCCTCTCTAATCTAGTCCTATCCTATCCAATAGCCTAAATACTGAGGAATAAGCTATAAAATAGTCATGCCTCTGCCCAATTCCAGCTTGTCATTTTATGAGTCAACATATATTGAAGACAATATATGCCACACTGTGTTTGGACTTGAGAAAGGATCAGAAGGATCATTTAAGAGAAATAAATGACACGATTTTTGCCTTTAAAAAAGACTCCATCCAAACACCAAATTCCTATGCTTCAATTTCACTTGCTACTCTGTAATAGATGCTTATCCTGCAATTAAATCTTAAAACATATCTATAATTATACTGCCTTCCCTGTTATATTCTACTTATATTTATACTTGATAACCTAAAAGATATCCCAATAGATAGAAATTGACTTTTTAAAAATAATTTTTTATTTTAGAAGTTTTAGACCTACAGAAAAATTGTGGAAATATGAGTTCCCATATGTTCTACCCCCAGTTTCCCCTATTATTTTATTTTATTTTATTTTTTGAGTTGGAGTCTTACTCTGTCACCCAAGCTGGAGTGCATGGCACACTCACGGCCTCCACACCGTCGACCTACTGAACCTAGGTGATCCTTCTGCCTCAGCCTTCCAAGTAGCTGGAACTACAGGCATGCGCTACCATGCCCGGCTTTTGACTTATTGTAGAGACGAGGTCTCACCAAGTTGCCCAGGCTGGTCTTGAACCCCGAGCTCAGGCAGTCCTCTCGCCTCAGCCTCCCAAAGTACTGGGATTATGGCCTTGAGCCACTGTGCCCGGCCAGTTTCCCCTATTATTAACATCTTATATTAGTATGGTGCATTTGTCACAATTAATGAATCAGTATTGATATACAATATATTATTAACTAAAGTCTATACTTTATTCAAATTTCCTTAGTTTTTTGACCTAATGTCCTTTTTCTGTTCCAGGATCCCATCCAGGGTACAACAATGCGTTTAGTCATCATGTCTCCTTATGCTTCTTTTGGCCATGAAAGTTTTTCAGATTTTCCTTGTTTTGTTTGTGTGAATTTTTGCAGGGTCTTACTTTCTGGCCCAGGCTGGAGTACAGTGGTGCAATTATAGCTTATTACAGTTTCGAACTCCTGCCTCAGCCTCCCAAATAGCTAGGACTATAGATGTATGCCACCATGCCTGGCTAATTTTTAAGAATTTTTTGTAAAGATGTATTCTCGCTATGCTGCCCATGCTGGTCTCAAACTCCTGACCTCAACTGATCTTATTTTGGCCTCCCAAGTAGCTGGAATTATAGACTCAAGCCACCAAGCCCAGATCTGGTGGCTTGAGAGGAAGACCACATCATATCATATTAAGTATACAGACTATCCACAAGACATCACCATTGAAGTTAACCTTGATAACCTGGTTTAAGAAATTGGCTTTTTTTTTCCTTTTTTGAGTCTGAGTTTCACTCTGTCACCCAGGCTGGCGTGCAGTGGCATAATCATGGCTCACCGCAGCCTTGAACTCCTAGTTTCAGGTCTCAGGTGGTCCTTCAGCCTCCTGAGTAGCTGAAATCACAGGCTACAGGTAAGTGCCACCAGGCCAGGATAATTTTTATTTTGGGGGGTGGGGAGGAGTAGAGACGAAATCTCACTATGTTGCTTAGGTTGGCCTTGAACTCCTGGGCTCAAGGCATCCTCCTGCCTTGGCCTCCTAAAGTGCAGGGATTACAGGTGCAAGCCACCATGCCCTGCTAAGGAATTTACTTTTACCTTAACTTGTTTTGTGCCTAACTGGGAACTACCTATAAGAGAGGTCTTATGTCTTGACACCTAGATTGGATTCTGTAGGAGAAACAGCTTGATGAAATAACCATTAAAGCAGAAAAAGAGTACTGGTCAGCTCTGTCATTTACTAGATGTATGACACAGACAAGTTACCCTACACCTGTAAAATAGAAAAATGGTAACAAATAGTTCTTTTAAGCTCTGCTAAGGAAATTTGTATGTGTTCTGTACAATCTTATATTTTTATGTATAAGAATTCCATATAAAAATGAAAACACTTGGAAAAAGTAGTATCTTAAGCAGTTAACATAACTTTGTAGAATAGTTTTCAACTGGTTGAGCAGAGCAAGGCCAATATGAGTTGAGGAAATAAGAAGTGGGAAGACTCACTATAGTTAACGATTTCTTAGTTTTGTCTTGCTTCCTTTTGCTAAAGTCTGGTTGTCATCTGTGAGTGGAGGGGATTTCTTAGATCTTACAAAGTCAGAGCTCACTTCTGCCTTGAGCTAAGTATTAATATGAGCATTGTTTTTCTGTTCAGCATCTATGAGAGAGAAATGATAGCTCTTTGAAGGTGCAATAATTCTACCAGGCAAGTAGATCTGTAGGATGATTAGGCAAGTAACTATTTTTTGAAATTGACAGGAAGTATAGAATTATTAAAAGATGTCAAGTCTTCCTGCCTCAAAATCATACCACTCTGTTTTGAATAAAAATACCAGAGTTTTTGCGTTCTTGAGGTTTTGTACTCACGGAAGTTCTTGAACCTGAGGTCTGAAAAATAAAGCAACTCCACCCTCTCCTTAAACTGGTGAGAGCCAATAACTTTTTTGTTTGTTTAATGCTTGGACAAAGGCGTTATGCAGAGAAAACAAAGGGGGCAGAGGCTTTCCCTCCGCCACTGAAATTATCACTGAACATATAGTAATTGTTAGTCTGCTATAATGCAAAGAGCAATGGTGTTTAGAGTCCAATGATCTGAATTTCAAGCCTAACTCTATTTCAAACAGGTTATGGAACTTTGAGAAAGTTTCTGTACTTCTTTGTGTCTTGAATTTCTCATTTGTAAAACTGTTGTTGAGAAGATGAGACTAGGCGCGCAAAAACAATTCATAAGAGAGCTACTATTTCTAACCCAGAATGTGTTCGCCGTCAGTAACAGAGCATGAGTGACCATTCATCGAGGGCAGTTCTGGACTCTGGAAGCACAGATGAAGCAAAAAACAGGAGTGCGCTTAAAAATAGCAGCTCACTACTTGCTGAAATTCTTTCGCTTCATGAAAGCAGTAACCATGGAAACCAGGCTGGCATCCCCCTGCCTTTCAGTCCTACAGCCTGGTTTCTCCTACTTTTCTCCATAATGCTTGGGAGGGCATAGCTATTTTATGGTTTTGTTTTGTTTGGTTTTCTTTCCATGTCGTTAGCAAAAACGAGAAAATCTCCTTCCTCAGATGCAAGAGAACAGTCTTCCTAGTTGTCCCATTCTGGCTGCAGCTCACCGATTATTTTCCCTATTGCGCGGTCGCAGCCGCAGATGTCCCCAAAGACAAAAATCTTTGCGAGCGCCAGTGTAGGAAAGGAACTCCCTAAAATCGAGCAGGTAACAGTAAAAGGGACTCCAACCCAGGTACCAGAGACAGACCCGATCGCCAAGATTAACACAGCCCTCTACCGAACAGCGAAAACCCTCGCGAGATACAACTGCAAAAGGGCGAGAGGAAACCCATTTTCTCGCGAGATGAGGGGGTGTTGGCGGAAACTAGGAAATGGCCCCGTAGGCGACCCGGCCCCGCACAGTGGGCGGGGCCAGAGTGAATCCTACCCCTTCCGGCTCCTTTCCCCGCCTCCCAACCCTGAGGTATTGGGCTGGGGGTACCGGCAGCTGGGTTCTCCGGGTTCCCTCGGGCGGGTGTAGGGTCGAGTTCAAAGCCTCCGGACGCGCTTTGGCCTGATTTGAGGGGGGGGGCGGGGAGGGACCTGCGGCTGCGGCCCCGCCCCCTTCTCGACTCTCCCGCGAGCGGATAAGCCCGCCTCCTCCTTCGCCGGCCCTGGGGCTCTGTCCCCCGGGCAACTCCAGCCGAGGCCCGGTCTTCTGCTTGCAGGTATCAACAGCAAGGCCCGGTTCATCCCCATGGTGGGTTTCGGGGCCAACCGGCGGGCTGGCCGCCTGCCCTCCCTCGTGCTGGTGGTGCTGCTGGTGGTGATCGTTGTCCTTGCCTTCAACTACTGGAGCATCTCCTCCCGCCACGTTCTGCTTCAGGAGGAGGTGGCAGAACTCCAGGGTCAGGTCCAGCGGACCGAGGTGGCCCGCGGACGTCTGGAGAAGCGCAATTCGGACCTCTTGCTGTTGGTGGACACTCACAAGAAACAGATCGACCAGAAAGAGGCCGACTACGGCCGCCTCAGCAGCCGGCTGCAGGCCAGGGAGGGCCTGGGGAGGAGATGCGAGGATGACAAGGTAAGGACGAGCCCTTTCTTCTCACTCAACCTCATCTTTTCTTTCATCTCCGGGGTAGGGGGTTTAGTCCGCCAGCGGTGTCCTTGTCTCTTCCAGGATTGAGGCCCTGGAGGCTTCCCCTCACCCCCCAACGGCCCTGTTTCTGTCAGACGTTTCCCGGTTTATCAGTAACACATTCACTGGTCCCTCCCGGACAAAACTGCTGTTAAGTTCTGTTTCTCAAGGGTGGCCTGTGTGATGCCGCCTTTTTCCAATCTCAGCTGCTGAGCTGGCAGTAGTAGTCATTTGACCTATGTGGCCGCCTTACGTTCACAGGCACACATCCGGAGACTGCCAGGTTTGGTGTGGTTATTGCCTCATTCCATACACACTGATTAATATTAATTTCTTTATTTAAACAATGGGACCTCCTCTACCACCTCTGTTTATGGTGGTCACCATGTATTTTTAAAGCAGTATGACTTAAAATCTCTATGGGGGATTTATTAAGTAACTGAAGAATGAGATATTAATGCTTTTTTGTGATAAAAACTTTATGATAGATAGGCCCTGGAGCCAAACGTGTGACTTGGACACAGTTGATCCATAATTATGTACTCAATTTTAATTGTTAGTGAAATTAAAAGGATAGAATGTAAAAATAAGTACTAAGCAACAGAATCTCATGTCAGTGGCCTCATTGAAAGAAAATAAAATGAAAATTTGTATGGTTAAGTAGTTATTAGGGTTGGTGTTTTATACATAGTTTTAAATCTAAAAAGTGCAAAATTGAACTGTAATTATACCTGCTACTAATAAGTCCTTGTTTTCATCAACTTATTGGTAGCTATATTAATAGTTTATGACTTAGCAACTTCTGTTGGTATGGGGGTTGTGAAAATTTCTGGGTAGGATAGTAGATGCCTTTCTTTGGTAATCTTCACATTTTTGTGTGCAAATTCCCATTATAATTACAAATTTTTACTTTGCACACCAAAATCACTTATAGTAAATTATTATAAGTTGATGTACTATAAATTAAAATCTCCACGAGTTTCCAACTTTCCTGTTGTCATCAGCTTCTACCTTGCTTTCTTATTTAATTAATATTGAAGACTTTGGCGAAGTGCTTCCCTATAACCTCCTGCTCGTCACCATACCATATACCTCCTCTGAGTGGGCAAGAGATCAGTACATTTATGCACATACTACACACTGAACTCTAAAGACTGAAAAACTGTTGGGCAGAATAGGTAGAAATCCATGAAATTTTGGAGTATTAAAGTAAGGTCTTTATTATTGAAATGGTTAAGTATTAGCATCCAGATTATTTCCTGGAGTTGAGCTCAAAGGAAAGATAGGTCGATAAGTTTTTTCTAGTAATTAATACTCTGGATTCCATTTCTTTCATCCATTAAAGTCACCCTCTCTCTCTCTTTTTTTTTTTTGAGAGATGGAGTCTTGCTATGTTACCCAGGCTAGAGTGTAATGGCTACTCACAGGCACAATCATGATGTACTACTGCCTCAAACCCTTGAGCTCAACTGATCATCCTACTTCAACCTCCTGAGTAGCTGGGGCTGCAGATGTGTACCACCGTGCCTGGCTCTACTGTTTTCAGTCTCTTTCAGTTTTTCACTTTTTAGCTTCATCCAGGTATAGGTGTCCCCTGTAGTAAATTTAAAAATAAAAAATTCTTCGATGTGTTTCCTTCTCCCAGTCAACCATTTTCTTTTTTTTACTTTCATTGCTGAACTTAAATTATTAGTGGTCTACAAATGTTCCATCTACTAATTCTTTCATCATCCCCATGCTAATCTTTTAAAATTCTGTCTGCCACCTTTTTTCCCCTCCCCTTTTCTGAAGCTATTGTCTTGAAGGTCACTAGTGACAGTATTCCTAGTCAAATCTAAGATCATTTTTATTCTCTAATTTATCTCTCAGTAGTTTGGTCCTGTTGATTTGCCTCTAGCTTTTTGGGAACTTTCCTTTCTTGATTCTGTAATATTGAACTCTCCAGATTCTCCTCCTGCCCTCTTCACTACAGTCTTGGCTGGAATTTTTTCTTTCCAACCATCTAATAATGAACTCTGTTCTTGGGCCTTTGCTCTCCCCTAAGAGCAATATTCCCCAAAGTGGTGGTAAACAGAATATTCTTCTTGGAATTGTTCATAGGTGGCCAGGAGAAAAAAGGAAAACCTCTTTTGGGGAAATGTACAGTAATATACCTTCCTCTTGGAGTTTGTAATGCCTGCTGTTTATATAAGCTTGGACAAATCTGTTAGTAAAGAAGCCTATTTAATTTTGTTTAACTCAGTCTCTTTCAGTTTGATCACAGGTTACTATTTTCATGGCCTACCTGTTATGATACAGAATAATGTAGGAAAGAACACCAGATTGGGAGATGTTGCCTGTGTGCCTTAACTATTTTTAAGTGTTTGGCTAATATTCTATGCAGCAGGCCAACAAATATATATTTCTTACTTATATGCCAGTTCCATTGTGAATGTCTATTCTCGTGAGTAGTTTCCAAAAAACTAGAGACAATCAACAGTACCAAACTACTGAGGGATCAAATAGAGAGACTCTGAGCTGCTAATAGAAAGGGAAGTTTTGGTCTCTTTTATTTTTATTTTATTTATTTATTTATTTATTTTTTTTTTTGAGTTGGAGTCTCACTCGGTTGCCCAGACTGGAGTGCAGTGGCCGCTCTCGGCCACTGCAGTCTCCCCTGCTGGGTTCCGGAGATCCTTCCGCCTCAGCCTTCCGAGTAGCCGGAATTACAGGCATGCGCAACCATGCCCGG